CAGCATCAACATCCCCACCCCTATTTCCTCAGGCTTTTTTTTTTACCTCAGCTGCAACTCCTGCAGTTCAGGTGTGTAACTGCCTCTCTGCTGCTCGTTCTTCTCCTGGGGGGCTCCTGGAGCAGCGTCTGTTGCAAAGAGCTCCTGAAAAAAAGCAGGAACGTTCTGCAGGCTGCACCGAGCAAAGGGGACGGACACAACCGCGACGCCGCACCCTCAGCAGAGCCACCACCCGCAGGTTAAGCGTTCCCCTGCCCTGCACCAAGCCCTTACCACGCCCTTGTCTGCAGCCTGCAGCTCCTGCAGCTGCCTCTCGAGCACCAGGCAGCGGTTCAGCACCTCGCTGTAGTGCTGGTGGCTCTCGCAGACGCTGCGGCCGCTCCCGCGCAGCTGCAGGGAGAGGGCGTTCTTCTCCTCGAACACCTGAGACAGCTGAGAACAGAGCACAGAAACTGCCAAGTAAAGAACTCAGCTTTGTGAAAGGAACATTTTTCTCTGTGTAGCTGATGGGTAAGAATTCTGGTGAGAACGTGGAGCTGCCACGCTGCCCGTCACCAAGGTCCAAACCTTGTGGCCGAGGCGGCCAAAACAGGAGCCCCCAAAACATCACGTGATGTCCAGAGCAACAGAAAGTGCTGAGGTTCACCTAAACCCTTCAGAAACACCATCAGTAAATTAATGAGTTTATATCCTCACATTCTCCTTGAAGGCAGCTCTCTTTCTGAGGATGGGGAAATTCTGGGTCTCCCATTTCAGGGTGGGGATCGACCGACTGTGATTCCCCACTGAGACAGAGGAACTGTTTCAAGCTGGCAGGCAGCAAAGGTGGCAAGCTTGCCTTCCCCAAAGAAGGACTCCCTTCAGCAGCCCAGAAAGCAGGAGGAGAGGAAATGCTGGAAACAACTCTCTTCACGTGGTCTTGCTCTCTGGTCCCTTTATCTTGTCTTCCTCTACCCCCACACGGCTTCCACTGTCCCCTCTCTCTGTCCTCTCTCTCCTTTCTTTCTTTTCTCCCCTGTCCTCTTCCCTCCTTCTTTCTCCCTCTGGTCACTTAAGAGAAAGGGCCCTAAAATCCAGTGGCAGAAAAGCTGCTGATTCAGACCCTGCCATTTCCCCTGCTGGGTAACAGCAAATGCAGCAGTGTGGTTCCAACACTGCTCTGCTGAGAGATTTATTTCTGATTTTGGGTTACTTCATGGAATGCCAACAAGGACTGATTCGTTCCTGCTCCCTGAACCCTATTCCAGCCTTCCCACATTCCTCATGCCAAGCCTGCAGGCACATATAGGATATGATCAGTACCTTGCTGTTCAGCTGCTGAATTCTGAGCTCTTTTTGGTGCAGTTCTTTCAGGCTGTCACTCAGCTGGGCCTGGAGATGTTTCATCTCTGTTTCTAGGCTTGAAAAGTCCCCTTTCAAGGCTTCTGGAGGAATCTGCCAAGGAAAGAACAGTGAAAAATACACTGCATGTGTGATAATCACTCTTGTGTCAGTCCTCTCTGTTCAGTATTCTGAGGTCAAACCCAATATTATTCCCAGACCTGGAACTTGACCTGCTCAGGCAAAAGAGCAAATGGGGAACAAACAGAAATATCCTAAGAGCCACCTGAAAATCCAGCTAGGAAAGATCACTGAGCTTGCTGATGTGATGGGTCCTTCTCAAAAGTTGTCTTAAACAACAGAGGAAGGAAAAAAAAAGGGCACGTGAATGAGAAAAGATCTCAGATTCAAAACCAGTGCAAGAAGCAATTCTGAAACAACCAGAAAGAACCCCTGAGAAGTTCCTACTGCTCTGAAGGTGCCTGGGAAGCCCTGTTTTCTTCTACCCACTTCCTTGAAATACTGTGAACAATGAACTTAGGGAAGAGCACAGAAGGCTATGCCGTAATTTCTACAATTTTCAACGACCCAAGTTAGACTGTTGGTACTGCATTCAGAGGCCCCACAACCACCTCCAGAGGTGAATCTGGAGGAGCTGGATAACAGGCCACACACACCCTCCTCTGGCCCAATTTCAAGCCTCACATTTCCTTGTAGCAAAGAATCCACATCTTTCCACCCACCTTGGTTTGGTGCTGCTCCTCTGCAGCTGGAGAGTTGCTGTAGGGCAGCCTCATTTCCTGGCTGATCCTCTGGAGGTGGCTCAGCTGCTTGTCCTTCTCTGCCAAGGCCATCAGGTACTGCTCCCTCATGCTGCTGCTCTGCTTCTCCCAGGTGCTCTTCTCCTGTCTGCCCAGCACACCAGGAGGGAAATTAATCAGGAGGTGACCAGCACCACTTAATGATATCCAGGTGCACAACCCTGCAGAACGTCCCATCCTCACACTTTTGGTGTTCCCAGACATTGTTTTGATCTTTCTGTACAGATGTGTCTCTGAGGTAGCTGAAAGGATTTTCCTCTGTTTTTTGAATTTAGTATATGTCTGACTAGTTTTACTCCAGTTGGAGGGGACAATTTTACTAGACTTGAATTACAGGCTTTTTTAATTAAAAAGAAGACTGAGCAAGTGAAACAAAGGATTGGACAGTCATAACAAAATGAGCATTTTCTAAACTACGACATCACTGGGATAATAAAGAGCTGCTCAGCAGCAGCTTGGAACAGAGAGAGATCTGTGATTACACACACGAGTTCCAACAAAAGAAACAGCCCCCATCAGATGACAGCGACCACCACCACTGAATAAAGGAAATAAAAACTAAAAGGGCATTGATTTATTTCACACAGGCATTACCCTCCAAACTGCTGGGCTGTGATCCCAGAGGCAGAAGCTGGGGGGAGGAAAACGTGTGCCCAGGCCAGGCCAGGGCAGAGTGAGCCGGTGGCACTTCACACAGCCCAGGCTGAGGCTCTCAGCGCTCCCTCTGCTCTTGGGAGTGAAGAAAACGCTCAGAGCAGGGAGCAAACAAACACACCTGAGCTGCTGGAGCTCCTGCTGGCACACAACCCCTTCTTGCTTCAGCTGCTCCTGCAGCCTGAGCTGTTTGTCTGCCTCCTGCTGCCACTCCTGCAGCTGGGCCTTCAGGCGAGAGTTCTCGGCGGCTTCCACTCCCACCAGGATGTACTGCTGCTGCAGATTCTTCAGCTCTCTCACCTGCAATTAAAGGGAGACATCAGTGGGTGACAGCTCAGCCAGCAGCTGGGTTTATTCCTTGGAAGTGCTGAAGAGCGTTTCTCGCCCTGGCATTTGGAGGGAAATAAAAAAAGTCACGTTCAGGTAACGGAGAAACGAGAAACTCAATCAGCAAGTACAGCAGTGCACTATAAACAGTCCAGTAAAAAAGACCCTCAGAGAATTCTACTGTTATTGAGATTAGTGAGTTTTGAGCCCTCCCATGAAGATGTGACATGCATTAACAAAGACTCCAGCCTGCAATATTAATTCTCTTCTTTAGAGGAAAACAAAGTCAGGTGAAACTGGGTAAGCATTAACTCCTGAAGTTGGTATTTACTGGAAACCAGGGAACTGAGGAACTGAAATCCTTCTGGCTCCCCAATTCCACTCAGGCTGGAGTTAGAAATAAGTTGTCATCACACATCCATCACTGCAATTGGCTTTTGAAGATGAGAAGGTGTGATGGGCTCTGGAGACAGGGAACTACTTAAGGAGTGGCAGTGGGAAGAGTGACAGTCAAAGTTTGTTTTCTGACCAGCAAAGGGAACTCAAACTTGCTGGGCTGTGCAGTGGCAGAGACTGCACAGACACACACACATCCAGTGTGCAGGCAAGGATGTCTGAAGGAAGCTGCAATGTCTTGTGCCTGCCTTGAAAATCAGCTGCCAAGTGGAGGAGACGACTCAAGCCTCTTCTAAAAATCCAAGGCAAATCAAAGGCATCAGCTGGCACAGGGGTGAGCTAAGCAGGTTAGCAGGGACCTTATTTCCATGATTTCATGTTTTCAACCAAGCTAACAAGAGAAACCACTCTGTGAAGCTCACAATGAAATCACAGCTTCCACGTGTCAGCACAATAACATGGATGGTCCACACCAAATCCATGGGATCTGATGGAGTGTGCCCACAAATGCTAAAGTCAGTGGGAGGTAACTCCTTTACCTCTGAAAAGTCATGGTGACTGCAAGAGGTTCCTGAAGGCTGGAAGAGAGCAAATGCCATCCTTACATACTAGAAGGGCAAAAAAGAGGAACTACAGTCTGGGCAGCTTTATCTCCATTCCTGATTCTGGAAAACCCCTCCAGATAACATGAAAAAAAAACACAGGTTGGCCAGAGAGGTTGTGGAATATCCACCAGTGGAGATATTCAAAATCCAACTGGACATTTTCCAGGGCAAACAGCTGACTTTGTGCAGGGGGTATCAGACTACAGAAGACCCTTTCAACCTCAGCTATTCTGTGATTTCACGAAGACAGTGATCTCTGTGTCACACCCCCCAATCACCAGACCTAACTGTGCTGAATTCAACGACCTGAAGATCCAAACCTGCTTTAAGTAAGAAGCAGGAAGAGAGAACTTACTACTCTGTCCCTGTCATTCTGCAAGGAGGACAGGGCCTTCTTCAGGCTCTGCACTTCCGAGGGGGTGCTGGAAGTGCTCCCTTCTGTTTGTTGTTTCGCTTCTTCCACCTTCTGTGCTTTGTCCAGCTCGTTCAGCAGACGGTCTCGCTCATTCTGCAGACTTGCCATGGCCTTGGAGAAGGATCTGACCTGGTTGGAGGAGCCTTCCAGTTCCGAAGACAAACGGAGGAGCTCAGCGTCTTTGGCTCTGAGCTGCTGATTCAGTCTCTCAATCTGTGCCAAGAAACCTCTTTCATCAGTGGCTTTCTGCAGTTCCATCAGTTCACACCTCGCTGTGTCTCGGTCCCTGGCAGTGGAATGTTGCTCCTCTTGTAGCTGAGCCACCTGTTTCTGAAGGTTCTCCACCAGACCCTTTTGCTCCTCCAAGTCTGCAGAGTATTTCTGCTTCAAAACACGAAGCTCTTCATTGGCCTGGTCGCGGCTGTCCTGAAGAGAGCTCATGGACCTCCCAAAGGACTGGATTTGAGCTCGGAGATCTTTGTTTTCATCCGTGACCACGAGCAATTTCTGCTCCATTTCCATCAAGTCCCGGGCCAACTCTGCTACTCTTTCCTCCGCCGTCTCCGTCTCGTTCCTCATTATCCCCGCATCGTGATGCAGGTGCTTCAGTTCCTTCCGAAGCCTGTCCTCAGCCTCTCCCACTCTCTTGGCTGCCTCCCTCTGAACACATCCTAGCTCCTCCTCGAGTTCAGATATTCTTTTCTGGGAGAGGGAAAGCTTGTGACTCAGTTCTTGGGCCTCCTCCTCTCGGGCCTTCAGCTCTGCCTGACACTCCACGATAGGACTCCCCTCCCGCAGCGCTGCCATCTCACCCTGCAGCCGGGCCAGAGAGGACCTGAGGGTTTCAATCTCCTGAGCCATGCTGACTTTGTCCTCCCTCAAACCTTCCACGCCCTTCCTGAGATCATCCTGAGCGTGCTCAGACTCTTTCAGCCGTGTTTCCACGGCCGCCTTCTCCTTTTCCAGACTCTGGATCCGCTGAAGCTGCGTTTTGAGAAGCTGCTTCTGTTGGGAGTCCTTTATTGAAATTACTTGGTTCAGGTCTTCCCTGTACCTCACCAGCTCCGCGTTCAGCTTGGCGTTCTCCGAGTTGAGGTCATCCATCCGGCTGTGGAAACCTCTCATCTCTTCCTTGAGGTTGTTGTTTTCGGCAGCGGCCTCTTGGATTAGCCGGTCCTTTTCCAAGATGACGGCAAGGTGACGTTCCTCCAGCTGCTTGTAGTCCCTGAGGACGCGGTCTCGGTCATCCTGCAGGGACGACATGGACTTGGTGAAGGAGTCCAGCTGCGCCTTCTGCCGCTTGCTTTCTTCTCTGCTCACGTTCATCTTCTCAGTGAGGCGATCGAGTTTGCCAAGGAATTTGTTCTTCTCATTTTCCAAGGCTTTTTTCTCTTCTTCCCCCTTGCTTAGCCTACCCTCCAGCTCTTTCACCTCTTCGGAATGTCGCTGCTGTAACTCAGACAGAGCAGCCATCACCGCTTCTTCTTTGGCAGACAGCAAACTCACGATCTTCTGATCTTTCGCGCTGGTTTCCTCGTGCAACTTGTTTGTGAGCTCCTTGGAAGCCCGCAGGTCGGCTTCGAGCTGTTCACAGCTGAATTTGTAATTCAGGATACTGCTCTCTTGCTGCTTGACCACACTCCCCAGCTCTTCCCCGGCCAGCTCACATTTGGTGAGGGAGTTCTGTAAGTCAGCCAGCTGGTCTCTCAGCCTGCTGATTTCTGACTCCAGTTCCTGCTGCTCGTTCTGACACTTGCTGTACAGTTCCTGAGACCCTTCCAGCCGAGCCAAAAGCTCTTTTTTTTCCTCCTGCAGCGTTTCACACGTCTTTTGATGCTGCTGAATCTCCTTCCTGCAGTCAGACTCCAAGTCTTTCCTGCTGCATTCCAGCCTGAAAGCACAAAAGATAAAGCTAGTCAAGAATCCGTGACGTATCTCAGTCTCCAAATGCACAGCAACACCGGCTTTATGCTAATTTAGAAAAGCTACAAAAGTAGTCTTTGCTTTAAGAAAGCAAGCTGGAAATATCTCTTCATGTAAAATTCAAGGCATCTTTTAAAGTTCTGACTGCACTGCTGTCTGAAGGGGGTGGTGCCAGGGGAATATTATTTTTTTAGAAGTCGTTCATGTCACAATATTGAAAAAAATGGAGGGGTTTAAACACTGAATGTTATCACCTCCTTTTCATTACAATCCTTATCCATTGTACATAACAATAAAAAACAATCTCCCCCACGGAACTGCTGTTTTCATACCTTTGGTGTCCATATAAACTTCACAAAACAGTTTTTCCTATGTCAGAACGGTTTGGTTTTGAATTTTGGAAATCCACAGATGTACATTCTGGTATGTTTCCAGAGCTTCCACCTCTCTCTCAAAATTTATTTTTGGGATTAAATTGGGGTTATGTATGTCAACGCTCTCTCAACCTCTCAACGCAACAACTCCGTGCAAAAGAAACCCTTTCAAATTTCAGATTATCAAAGGCTCTAGATGGTGAGTGCTTGTCACAGAGAACAGATTTACCACCCTAATGTCGAGAAGAAGGAATGTTTTAGGGTGCCAACCTCCTCGTGTCCTTGTGCAGACAACAAATACAGAGCAACCTTTTCCTGATCTCCAGCCTAACCCTCCCCTGACACAGCCTCTTTACCTGGATACTTGAGCCTGGAGCTCTTCCACACGTGTGGTCATCTCCTTCAGCTGGTCCTGCAGCACAACACAGGCCTCCTCTTTCGAGCGTATTTCTTCCTCCTTCTTCTGAATAGTTTCGGTGAATTTCTTTTCCCAGGTTTTTGATTCGTCTATCACTCGATCCCTGTCATCCTGAAGGGAAGACATGCTCCTGGTGAAGGCTGCAAGCTGGGCCAGTGCTTTGTTTAGACTGCCTTCCAGCTGCTTGGCCTCCCGATCCTTTGCCTTCAGGGAGTCTTGCAGATCACCAATGGTTGTTTCCACACGCTCCTTCTCCCTCTGCAAAGCTGCCAGCTTCTCTTCCATGTTTTTCACTTCCTTTGAGTGCTTGCCTTTTTCCTGTTCCAGCCTTCTCTCGAAGTCCTCGTCCTTTTTCTTCATCTGAAGTTTAACGTTCTCTTTGGTTGCCTGCAGCTCTTCTTTCACCTTGACGCTCTCTGCCAGCACCCTCGCTGCCTCGCTCTGCGTGTCATCCAGCACCACTCTGCAGAGAGCCAGCTCTGCCTGGGCTTTCTTGGTGTCTTCAGCTGCTTTTGCTGAAGTCTCTTTGGCTACTTCTACCTCTTTCTGAGTCTCACTCTGCAGGAACTCCAGAGCTTTAACAGTTCTTTCTAAACTACTGGTTTTCTCCTGGCTTTTAATGCAGTCCTTCTGCAGCTGCTTAATCTCCTGCTGTTTCTGTTTCAGCAGCTCTTGAAGCTCCTTCACGTGCGTGCTGCTCTCTCCCCTCCAACTGCATTTCAGCTTTTCTACAAATTCTATTTGCTTCTCTGAACTCTCCTTGCTCCTCTCCTTTGCCATCTGACTTTTCTCCTCCTCCAGTTCCCGCACCGCTCTCTGCAAACTCTGAACCTCATGCTTCAGTTGGTCGTTTTTGATCTGAAAATCTGTTGCATCCTGCTGATAGTTACCAATGCTTCCATTCAGCTCTGCCAGCTGATTCATGAGCCTCTCTTCCAAGTCATCCTTCTCGGCCTCCAGTGCATCCTTCAGCTCTGTCATCCTGGCGAGGTCATCCGTGACTTTTTGGACCGTCTGCTCCATCTTTGCCACCGTGGCCTGCAGAGCTTTCACTTCACGGGTTTTCTCTTCCACCTGGCACTCCAAAGCCCTTTTCTCACCTGCCAAAGCCTCCACAAACGCATGGGTGTCACCCAGCTGTTGCTCTGAAGCCCTTCTGTCACCCTCCAGCTCCGCGATCCGCTGGGTGAGCTCAGCGATCCGCTGTCTGGAGGTGCCAGGATCCTCACAGGGGCTGCCACCTTCAAACCCCTCCTGTTCCAGCTCTGCAGGAGAAGACTCCGCTTTAAAAGTTATTTCCACTCGATTTTCAGACCTTTCCAGTGGTGGGGGTGTGGCAACTGCCTCGTTTGTTTCTTTGCCAGTTGTCGTCTGAGCAACGTGCCCATCTACAAGTTCCCTGCTTTCCTTCAGTTTAGATTCTGTTAACTGCAAAAGACCCTTTAAGTCTGTGACCTCTTGATTAAGAGACTCCTTTTCAGCCATCACTGTCTCAAGCTGAGCAGAAAGAGACTGGCATTCCCTCCTGCAGCACTCCAGATCTTCTTTCAGGCTGGCATTTACCAAGACCTCTCCAGTCCTGGGTGGCTCCCCACCTGTAAAATTCATCTCTGCTCTAAGCTTCTCATTCTCCTCCTCTAGCTCCAGGATCTTCTGCTGCTTGGATTTCGCGAATTTCCTCATTTTCTCCTTCATCCCCTCCATTTCCTGCCCTGCTTCCTGCAGCTGCTTATCCGTTTCCTCTTTTTTGGCTTCAGCGCTTTTCAGCTTCGTGAAAATGTCCTGCTTTTCCTGCCGAACGGTTTCCAACACTCTCTGAATCCGCTCGGCCTCGTTGCTCACGTTCTCGTAGGACTGCAGCAGAGTTTCATACTCTCCCTGCAGCTCCTTGTACTTCTCCTGCCACTCAGAGCTCTCGGTGGCTTGAGAGCATCTCAGCGATTCCATCTCCTTCTCCAGCTGCTCCCTCTCCAGAACGACTCTATCCAGAGTCAGCGTTAGGTTTTTACAGCATCCATCGAGATACTGATTTTCTATCAGTGCTTTATCAACTTCTGCAATCAGTTTTTCTCTCTCTCCAGTCAGGCACACCAACTTTTCTGTTAAAGCATCTGTTTCTTTAACATAGCCACAGATTTGGCTTTCCGTATCTACCAGCTTGACAGAAAGATTGTCAATAGTAGCTTTGGCACTAGCCAGCTCCTCTTTTAGAGATTTGCTCTCCTTTAGTGCCTCTTTTCTCGAGATAAGCGCGGCCTGCAGCTTTCTCTGCATTTGATTCTTCTGTTTAGCTGCTTCTTCACTGTCCTCTTGCTTCTCCTGAATTTCCAGCAGCTCTGTCTGCAGTCTCTTGCTTTGCTCCTCGTGCACCTGAGCCTGAGCTTCTAACTGACCACACAGGCTTTTGACTAAATCCTCTTTTTCCAGCAGCTGGGCCTGCACATCACTCAGAGCTTTGCTCTTCTCCTTTAACTGCAAGTTAAGGAAATCCATTTCTTCATCCTTTTGGTGCACGAGGGCTTTCCAGTCTTCAAGACCGGCCTCTGTGGAAATTTTTGCTTCGCTCTCCTCCAGTTCCATCTGAACACTTGCTGCCTTAGCCTCAGCTTGCTCAGAGCTTCTCTTCAGCCCTTCTATCTCCAGAAACAACTGTGCTATGTGCTGTTGCAAATCAAAGACTAATTCTGACTTGCAAGCAAGTTCACTTTGCGTGTGTCTGACGCTATGTTCCAATTCCTCTTTCTCCATCTGCAGTTTTTCAAGCTGTTTTTCAAACTCTTCCTCAGAAACATCTGCAGCTTGCAAAAGCTTGCTATTTGTTGTATTTTCTGCTTCCATGCACGAAGGATCCAACCCACCTTGCTTCCCAAGAACACCCTCTGCTGGTCCTTTCTGTTCTTGGAGTTGTCTGAGCTGAGTTTGGATGCTCTCCTTCTCTTTGCTCTGTTGATCAAATTGTTCTTGCAGGATGTTGTAATCATCTTTCTGCTGTTTCAGCTGTTCTCTGTGATGCCTGTCTTTCTCTTGAGCCTTTTTTATAGTGTCTCTGCGAGATGCCAGGGCTTCCTGGAGTTTTTTTTGAAGCAGTTCTTTTTCTTGTTCGAGAACCGAAATCCTTTCTTTCAGGGCAGACTTTTGGTCTTCTTCCAGATTTGTGGCTGCCGAGCTCGGTTTTTCATTTTCTTCACAACCTTCCGGGCTTTCCTTGGTTTCAGTTACTTTGTCAGCAATTATCTGATGCTCCACCATTTCATCTTTGACTGAAACGGTGTCTGCCTTACCTTGCAAGCTTTGCCTCATTTCCTCAATCACTGCCTGCAGTTGTGCTTCAGTAGTTTCTTTATCCCGCAGGTCCTTCCGGATGCTTTGCAATTCTGACTCCTTTTCAGAAAGCAGTTGAATTAGATACTCTTCCCTGGGCTGCTTTTCAAGACTCACTTCTCTGCTTCTCATATTTTCTTCCCCTGCAGCTGCCTGAGCCACTGAGGTTTCTGATCCTTGCTCTCTGCTCTGCTGTGCTAATTCACTCTCCAACGTGCTGACCTTCTTCAGGAGCTCCTTCCTGTTCACAAGCGCCGCTTGCAGCTTCCGCTTTACTTGCTCGTTTTCTTTCCTCAGGAGTTCCACTTGATTTACTAATTCCACTTGATTTACTAATTCCACTTGATTTACTAATTCTTCACTTTCTTTGCCCGCTGCTCCTGCCTCGTTCTGCTGCTCAGATGCCCCACATTTCAGGCCCTCATCTTTTGCTCCCGTGTGTCGGTCTTTTCCTTCCTGCTCTTTTAACAACAGGCTCGCCTGCTCTTTCAGACTCTTCAGCTCATTTTCCAGAGAAAACTTCTCCTCGTTCAGCAGGACCATTTTCTCGGACATGCTGATGCTGAGCTCCGTCATTTGTCGGTCCTTCTCCAGCAAGGCTTGTTGCAGGCTCTCTATGGACCTGGTGTGATCAGCAACAAGCTGTTCCAGGCTTGCTGCTTCGTGCCCCTTCGAGCTTAACTCCTGGGAAAGCTCTTCCATCTCTGCTGTGTTCTTCCTCAAAAGTTGTTCTAGCTTAAGCACTTCACCCTCCTTCATCTCCATCTGGCTTCTCAGATCCTTCAGTTGTGCGTCCTGGTCAGAGAGCTGAAGTTGTGCTTCGTCCAGGTCTTTCTGCAAAGCTTCGATTTTTATATCCTTGGATTTAAATTCATTTTTGAGGCTCTGGATTTGTTCTCTCAGAAGACTGCTTTGACTGTCAGACAGCCTCTGCTTTTCTGAAAGGGCCAGGTCTTCCTCAAGTTGCTTCATTTGCTCTTTCAGTTCTGTTATGGCAGGAAGTTCCTTCACCTGACCCAGGAGCCGATCTCGTTCTTCAGCCAAGACACAAAACGCGCTGTCGGAATCCTCTATTTTTTTCCTGTACTCCTCTGCCAGCTGGTTTAGCCTATTTATTTCTGCACTTTTTTCTCCTAGGTCTTTCTTAAAGGATTCTTCTGATTTCTGAAGAATTACTTGCAGTTCTGCAATTTGGTTTTGTAACTTTACCAGTTCCTGAGATTGAGAGGCGCCAGGCTCTGGATCTGCTGTGGAGATTCCTTGGATTGCCTCTCCCTCACCCCTGTAGAAGACAGGAATCCCCTGGGGCTCTTCTTGGAGACTGAGTCTGCTTTCCTGAAAGAGGTCAATTTGCTGCATTTCTGCTTCTCTCTGTAATGAGCCACCACCCAACTCATTCTGTGCATCTGAAACCTTCTGCTCTTCCCTCTCCACACCCTGGATCTGGGAATTCTCTTCCAGCTGGTTAACCTCTTCTCCTGTTTGGCTGCCTGTAGAAATTTGCCCAGAGGGGCCCTTGAGCTGGTTTTTCAGAAAATCTATTTCTTCTTGGGCTTCTTTCAGTTCCAGCAGCAAAACCGACAGCTCTCTGTGTTTCTCTGCAGCAATATATTCCAGAATTCCAGGAGAACCACTTTCCTCAGTGAGCTGCTTGGGAAAGCTTCCACTGGGAAAGCTATCTGTTCTTGCCTGAAAGAGAAGAGCAGGTGTCAATTTTCCTTGGAATCTCAGGAAAGGGTCAATTCTGGAAGCATCTGCCTCTCCACCTTTTGTAGCTTAAGGATGCCCCCTCTCTTGAGCATTGGTTTCCTCCTATCCCTCAAAAACAGATTACAAAAGAAAAGCAGTCCCAAATTCTCCACAGAAAGTGTGGATCAATAAGGCAACGCACCACGTTGTAAAGGCTGTTCAGCAGTTTGGAGGGAAAACCACTAAAAGGAGAGCTGCTCTGAAAGTTTGCTGCAGTGATGCAACAAAGCCTTCAGGTTACAGGATGTTAAAAAAATAATAATAAAAAAAAAAATCAACTCTTCAGGGCTTTTAAAGTAATTTTCATGTGTCTGTCAGTGTTTGCCTCGCTGCTTCAGCAGATAAAGAACCAGGAGTCAGTAAAAACCCCCCCAACCCAACAATGGAAACGACTGAGAAAACAAAATTAAGTGCTCAGAATTAACATTGGCTGTAAACACAGGGCACTAACAGTCACACCATCTCCAGCCCCCACTCTCAGGGCAGTGGGAATGGATAGAACCTTTGGAATTGCTTCCACAGACCTGTCTCAGCTCAGCCCACGGTTCTGCCCAAGCACCAACTCACAAGAGGTGGAAAAATAGCACAAATATGGATTAGGTGGGGGAAGGACACGAGAGTTCCAGACAGTCAGCAAAGGGAAACAGTCCGATACAAACACAGTGCAAGCAGCATTTGGAACCTATATCTGTCTCCCATCACTAATCCAGTTAATAATAACTTACCAAAGAGGATTTATAAAAAAAGGCCATGACAGCTTAGGTATTTTTAAGGCCAGTCCTTGACCTGTTTTAGTTTTAGCTTATTTCAGCTGCTTAATCCTTACCTGTTTTGCATCCTCTGTGATGGTCACAGCTTCCTGTTGAGGCTCCTGGAGAACCAGCTGCGAATGTGGTACTTCTGAAACATTCAAACACACACAAAAAAAAAGTCTTTGAAAATTAAGACTCTGCTTTGGACAGTGACAGGGTGTTCTTCCAGGAGCTTTAGAGAAAGGACATGTGGCTGTTAGTAAACACTTACGTAGTGGATATATAAAATACTGGATAATGTGTGTTACTGTAATTCCTTATTATAATATAAATCCTTACTTCATTCTGTTTGAGTTAGGAATGGAGTACTGTGGGCAGTTTTAGGCATCCCACCTTAAATAAGCCTTAACAAATTAAGAAGTCATCACAAGACGAAGAGGAGTAACAAAGGACTGAGAACCTGCAGAGCAGGCTTGGAAGATGATGACTCTTTATGTGCTTCATTAATATTTTGGTGGGGGTTTTGAAAGAAATTACATCTCTCCACGTTTAAAATCTGGAAAAAAAAAAAAAAGGTCAGTAACCCACTGAAAAAAATTACAATAAAAAAAACCCTTTGTTTTGAAGTAAATACACAGCTAAATGTGCATTGGGAAAGATGTTTTAAGTAACACGACGATGATTGTCATTTTTCACATTCCACTGCATTTTTCAGGTGGAATTCCTTTCAGCAGAGGGAGGAGCTGCTTTTTTTTTGAGGAGAGCTGATGAAAGCTTTCCAGGTGCATTTTAGATACACTCAATCATAACTCAGGGCACGGTATCAGACGAAAAGCTGGATTTCTGTGTCGTGTGCTCAGCGGTCACAAGGAAAAACCAGTAGGAAGGGGTGTCCTTGAGAGAAGGCTGTGGAGGAGGACCTGGGGATCCTGAGGAACTTAGAAACTGGACAGGAGCTGACAGTGTGTGCCTGCAGCCCACAAAGCCCACCACACCCTGGGCTGCACCAAAACCAGATGCAGGCAGCAGGGCAAGGGAGATGATTCTCACCCTCATTTTCGCTCTTGTGAGATCCCACCCAGAGCACCGTGCACAGTTCTGGGGTCCCCCAGCGCAAGAGAGATGTGGAAATGCTGGAGTGAGTCCAGAGGGAGCCACAAAAATGATCAGAGGGGCTGGAATGTGTCGCCCATGAAGAAAGGCTGAGGGAATGGGGGTTGTTCAGCCCGGAGAAGGCTCCAGGGAGGCTTTATCTGCAGCCTTTCAAGAGGGCTTGCTTCAATTTGGGGTGCCCAGAGAAGCTGCTGGTTGCCCCATCAATGGACACGCTCAAGGTCAACCTGGATGGGGTTCTGATAACCCTGACCCACTGAAGGACATCCCTGCCCAGGGTAGGAGGGGTGGACTGGATGATCTTTATGAGTTCCTTCCAACCCAAACCATCCCATGGTTCTAAATGGTGTCTTGAAGTCCATTGAACACCTGCCTCTCTGAAATTATGGAAGAAAAAGGGAGACACGAGACGTTCCAGAACTGCAGGGATCTGGGTGATTGGTGATTGATTATTCTCCCATCGGGATTCTCACAAGAGGTGCTATCTTTGAGTGACAGGAGGCAAAAGGAATCTCTTTCTGGAAAAATCAAGACAGTCTAAGGTTATAGTGCAGCAGACCCTGAAGGAAACACTTGAGGGAATCCACTGCCATATAATAATAATAATAATAATAATAATAATAATAATTCTGCCAGCATGGTGATATTGCTGCTACCAGTCCACACGCCCAGACCCTCAAAACCAATTTCACTGCCTGGGTTATTTTTATATCTATGTATGAGCCCTTTACTATTTCAGCCAAAGCCACCAAAAATAAATCCCCTTAGAAGTGCCACCTGCAGACTTGTCAGCATTTTGTACAAGGGGGGAAACTGCTACTTCAGTTATATCTTGTTTTGTCCAATCTGATTCTGGAATAATTTTTAAATATTTTATTATAGGTAAGGTAATCATACCACCTTCAGTCTTCTGCCTTTCCAAGTTTTCTGTGGGTAGGAATGAAGTCTCATCCTGATCTTCCTGATCTATTATTCTTTCCTGTGACGTTGATTTATCCTGGTAAAACACAGGATAAGAGAAAGATAAAATTCAATACAGTTTATAAAAGCATATTAAGTCTTTGATGTTAATCTTAAAAAAAAATCAATTGGCAACTTTAAAATGACTCAAACTCCTACTCTTTCTTAGGCTTTCCACAGTCATAACACATCTGAGAGCCAAGAAGAACCTTTCTCAAGCAATGCATAATTTTAAAAAAAAAGGAATTCTAAACGTTTCGTTTGGTTTTAGTTCCTCAATATATGGGAAAATGTCATGAGAATCATATGAAAACATCATACCTGCTGCTCCAGTTCAGAGACTTCCACCTGTGACTGGGATTTCAACTCATTCTGACAGCAGGCAAATTCCTCAGATTTCTGTACAAGTTCATCTGAGGGAGGGGAAAAAGGAGAGTTAAGGTGTGTTCTGGTCTTTTTTTGCTGAACTACATCCAAGTTACACACAAGTTTATTATGAGATCCCTTATCTCTTAATCACTGCTTCAGTTTGGGACCATAAAGCAGCTGGAAGAAAAATCAACCTGAAATAAGAGCTTGAGGCAAGATTAATGTTACTAGTTTTAATCCAGGTCTATGGGGAAAATAGTATAGTTTGCTTTTCTTGGTTGTTTTACTTAAAGTTTCAGTAGAAATTCTGACTCTGTGGCACATTTAAAAAGGACTTTCGTAAGTGGATGGAAAAGATCCGACAAGTTCATAAAATCAACTAAAGAAAAATACAACCGGATCCAAAAAATCCGTAAGCCTGAAGAGACAAGAGGCTGGGACAGTATCCAAGGAAGGAAGGAAGGAAGGAAGGAAGGCACCACATTTGCTGCCCTGCTCTTCTGCTCCTCCTCTTGCAGCTGCCAACAGCAGAATGGTGGGATCACACCAGATCCCCTCGCTTTGGGACGGCCCCACCAGTCCCACATCCCTGTGCAATCAGGAATTGTTATCCCAAGCCATTCCTAGTTTTAGGGTTGGCCATTATAAAAACAGAACCAAAGAGAGAAGGCAACCCAAGGAAGCTCAGGCTTCTGAGAACCTGCTCACCCCGTGCCCTGGAGGTTGCAGATGCCACCAGGAGCTGGCTGAGCTCCTGCTTCAGCTGGTTGTTCTCAGCCAGGAGGGCATCATGGCCACGCTGCAGCTCCTGCTCAGCCACCAGCAGACAACTGATCTGCTGCTTTTTCTCTTCCACCTCCAGGCTGTGTTCCTGCTCCAGGTCTTTCTGCTTCACCTCCAGCTCAGCTCGTGCTCTCCTTGCCTCCTCCAGCTGCTCCTCCAGCTGCTGCACCTCCTCCTGCAGGCGGTGGCACGACAGCTTCCTCTCAGCGAGTTCCAGCTCCATCTTCTCCTTGAGATCCCGAGATTCCTGTCTCTCTGCATCCAGCACATTCCTCACGGAGCTCAGATCCACTTCCATCTTCTGGCACTGAGCCAGGAGCGTCTGTAAAGCGACACAAATTAATTTCTCTCTCGACTCGCGCGACACCTCGAGAAAGCAAAGTACCTGAATTGTGTTTTAAGATTTCCTTTTAAATTATATTTGTAAGACTTCCTTCCTCAGATCCTTTTAATTATAGTAGCTAGATCCTTTCTGCTATCTGAGTAGCAGAAAGAACGAAACAAATACGTCAGAAATCTCTTTCTGACAAATAGAAATGGCCCTACTATTTGCAAATTGCAAGAAAGCAACGCTGGGAGAAACAACTCCTTGTCATTCTGGTAAAGGAAAGATGAGCCTTGATTTAGTGGAGGGGGAATTCAGACAAAAGAGGCAATAACAGTGGCCACGAGTTCTCTTTTAGGAGAAAGCAACCTTTGAAGAGGTTGTGTACTAAACCCTGCCTGGAGAGGCTCATGTATGCACAGACTTTCTCTCATCCTCTTCATGCTCTAAAACGACACAAAGAGAGAGCAAATCCCACCCCAGAGGTTGTGCCAGCAGATCAGCAAGACACACTGAGGGATGTCTGTTCCTGCTCTGCTCTGGCCTGGATCCTGCAGTCCAGGAGCACTGAGGCTCCAGCAGCACTTCTGCCTTTGGCAAAGCTTTGTGTCATTGGTGGCTTGGAAAGTCCAGTGAGGAGGGTGGGTATGGAGAGATGGAATCCCTGCCCACCTGCCCAGAGCCTGAGTCACTCCAGATGGCAGCTGCAGCCCCCCACTGATGAGCTGTGCACGCAAGCTCTGACACGTGACCCGAGGCGATTTCGGGATGGAAACCCGGCACCAGAAACAAGCTGATCTGAGAACCTCCAGGCTTCTGACAAAGGCACCATCCACCATAAAAAGCAAAGAGTAAAGCCACAAAAAAGCACGACCAGGCACCTGGTTTTGTTGTTCAGCAGAGTGTAACTCCTGCTGCAGCAGCTCCACCACCTGAGTCCTCCCCAGCAGAGCCGCCTCCTGCTCCTCCAGCTTCCTCTGGAGCGTGCGCAGGTTCTGGGGGAGAGAGGAAAGAGGTTGTTCCACAACTGGGGAGGCTCCCACAGGAAGGGCAGATAAATTCCCTGCTTTCACCCACACCCCTGGTTTCCATAACACAGCTACTTTACCAGCCTGAATCGCTTCATCTTTGTTGACACCCAATTCTGGAGCAGTAGGGAGAGCTCCCCGTTTGCTTCCCAAATACAGAACTGGAGCACAATCATTTAATACCTTTTTTTTAAAACTGTTTTCCTTCTTTTCAGCTGATAGCAAAACAGCAGATTGAAGCTAGGACCCAAAGCCCAAACTAGCACTCCAAAAAACTCCAAACAATCATATAATCTCTCTTCTCACCCCTTCTGGGTTACTTTAATGTGAACTGCTCTCTCTGGGTGTCTTCTGCAAAAAATTCCTTTTCCTTCCTCCTCCCGTAAAAAGGTTATTCTATCACACGTACCTGTTGCATCTCTACTTCCAGATCTGACTGGGCCATCATCTTGAGCAATTCAGCTTGATGCTGGTGCCTCTGCTCCTCCAGCAGAGCTTCCTTCTCCTGAATCACCTCCTGCAGGGATCTCAGCTGAAAACATAAACCATAAAATAAATAATAAAAAAAAAGCCAACAAGGTTATGAGCCTGACATGGTGTCTTTATCCTACTGATATGTGTATAATAACTGATAATATTTCAGATCCCAGGAAGCAAAAAGCATAGACTTTCACCTACAAATATGCAGAACAATAAAATCTAAGATTACTATTTAATTAACACAGTAACTCCCCAGTTATGGCAAAGCCCATCGCAGAGCAGCAAGGGCAGGCAGGGGAGAACCCAAATTCCAACTCAGAGAGGAAGGGACAACCCGCCCAGGACCTTCCAGGGATTGTTTTGTCCTTCTCAGAGAGCCATCAGACAGCTGTCCATGTGGGAATCCCATCACTTACCTGGGGAGTACCTTTTGCACCAAGGAGGGTTCTGGGCTGGGGGTGGAAAATGGACTGTGGGGGGCAAGTGAGGGGCATTTGGGGATTGAGAATGGACTTGTGGAATATTTAAGGGAGGAACTAAAGGCACAGAAATGGATGGACCTGGGGGATTTGAGGGGGAACGAAACTGCAAAAATAGAGGGTAAAGGAATTCAAGACCAGCTGTGTAAACACTGTTCTATTTTCTATCATACCAGTGTGAGTGGTGGGGTTGGGAAGCACACAGACTGATGAACAGAAAACACTTCTGTACCTGTGTTGCATGCTTGATTTCAGCATCTTCCAGATTCCCTCTGGCTAGAGCCAGCTGTTCCTTCAGGTCCTGAACAGTCTCCTCTCGCTCCCTGAGCTGCTCTTTCAGCGCTTCCACCTCCTCCCTGTGCCCTTCGCTCGTATTTTCATTATTCTGACACTGCAGGAGGGAAGAATTGGGGAGAAGATAAAGAGAAGTAAGCAAATTTGTCAGTATTACTGGCTAATTTAAAAGAAAGCTGAGCTAGAATGCTCCTGCACTCTTGACTCCTGACCAGATACTTATTTCTGCTCCATTGCTTCGTTTCTTAACTTCCCATTTCCTTAAATGAAGTTGTCCTGTGTTAAGTAACTATTTTTATATAGATATGCACAACATGCTCAAGATACCTTTAACAGGGAAGTGTCAGATCACTTGAAACAGCTAATTGCCCGTGACTGCTTACCATATAAATTAAGGTAAATTAGATTATTAAATACACAATTTAATAATTATGTATTAAAAATATATATAACTAATAATTTAATACATAATTTACAGTAGGACCACTTTGACTTGTGGGGCTTTTTAACATCACAGATTTCTTTAATACCAGAAATAAAAACATTTTTTAATTTGGCATGGAAGAATATTCTCACCTACAGAGACGGTCTTTGGCAGAGGGTAGAACAGCCAGACAAGACAAGACAAGAGAGCTTTAATTGTGCTTAATTTAGAAATAGAACAGGACAGAAAAGGAAGAGCAGAAATGAAGGAAGCTCTAAGAAGCCAGAGACAGACATAACTTCTAATGCTGGGACAGAGCACTTGCCAGGGGGCAAGATGAGTGGATTAATTTGCTTCCTCGGAATTAGCTCGCAGGATTGAGACTTTTCTGGTCGAATTTGGAAAAGCTTCTTATGGAGTCCTTGCACAAAGTGCCACAACTGAGGAGAACAGCACAGCCACAAAGTTCCCACAGCTCAGGGTTTCGAGATTATGCTTGTCCAAAATGTATCTGAACATAATTTATCTTGACCCTCCCCTTTTAAAGTTTCAGAGGAGCCTGTTTTGTTCTGCATACAAATATTATCTCATAGAATGGCACAAGCTGACATTTCCATCCTCCTCAAAATAAGACACTCCCCTAAAAGCTCAGAAAGTGATTACTCAGAAAGTAATTAGATATTTCAAACACAGCTTTCCTGTAGTGCCCACACCATGGATAGGAAAAAAATCCAGCCCTTTGCTAATGTTCTACACCTCAGCACTACAACATGCAACCTTAATCTAAATTTTTCATCTTCAAATGACAGGGTATCTGTCTAGGAAACACCACCATTACTCAAGACAGCATCTACTTGGGGAAAATAAGTGTGAATAAAGGAGTTGGTGGGTTCTCAGTAGGTCTAACCTTACAGGAAAGATTTTAGAAAGTGCTTTCTGGGTCAAATCCATAACACTGCAGGTAACTGCCCTAACATATTTTCACTCAAACTGTGTTCTAAGCTGAACCAAACAAGGCTCTGGTCCATCCCATGTCCACTGGAGACTGTCCCACGACCTCATTCCACTAATTAAAAGGCCATTTTTCTTAATGGCTGATTTATACTCATCCATTCACCTGCACTAGACTCTCACTTTCATAGCTCTCCCACTTTCTTGGGGCTCACCTTTCTCACATAAAATTGCAGAATGGAATGTTTCCTGTGTGGCACTGCTTGGCTAAACAACCAAGACACTCAAATGCCTCAGAAGTGCAGCTGACAATATGACAGGAGAACAGAAAGTTCTTAAAAAAGAGCCTCAGCAGCAGGAGAACAATGCCAAGTGACACAGCTGAGCAGCCTCCATGGCCTCTGCAGCCAGGATTTTATGATGCTCTCCATCAAAAATAGTCATCCTGAGCCACAGAACCAACCTTCACTCCATTAGTGGTCACCTCTCACCTGACAGCTCTCACACTCACCTTTTAAATGTTTCCTATAATATTTAAATTTTTATTTTTTCAGCGTCTGAACTAACCTTTATCTCCTCCCGTTGAATGAACATCATCTGATGTCTTGCATTCTGTTCGGACTTCTATCCCATTTCCATCACTTAATATTACTAATGTTTTAAAGAAAACTACGTGGTCAGCAGACAGCATTAAGTTTTCAAAAATTACCAGCTCCAATGGGAGCTTCCAGCTAGTAGCTGACAGCTTCTTTAATGTCTTGGTTGCCCTCAGTTTTTATCCAGCATTAAAAAAATCGTGGCTTGTCACCCATAAAACTTTGTGGTGGCTCAGGAAGTTACATGGCTGGAAAGTATATTAATTTTTTTTTTTTTTTTTTAATATTTAAGGTACTGCCTTTTAGTTTTAATGATCTCCTTGTTCCTGCAGGAAAACACCTTGGCCACGATGGATTAACAAAGCTCTGCAAGGGAAACTGCCCTGGAGGAGATCAAGTGGAGCACTCCAAGGGCATCTGCAGTACAGACAGATCAGCTTCCTACAGCACAGGCACAGACATCCCTGGTGGAACTCTGAACATCTTGCTAACCAGACCTGCTGGCTCACTGGGAACATCAGCAGTCCCAGGTTACCAGTGGAAGCTCCATTTTTTTTTTTAAGTGGTCCTGTTCTCCTGACCTTGGGATGCTCCTGCTCTTCTGATGAGGCCTGTGTAGGTGCTCCTTTCCCTGTCAGCTCCTCGATGCGTTTGTTCAGAGTGGCCAGTTTGGCTTTGGCCTGAAGTTTCAGTTTCATCAGCTTCGCATCCGCAGCCTCTCGCTCTTCCTGCAAGGGAAGGACACAAACCGACTGCACTCAGCCTCCTGTTGTCACCACTTTGAGAAGTTACTCTACTTGCAAGTCTGTCATTCTCTCTCCAGCCCTACCTCTGCAGTAACAGCAGTATTTCAAACACATCCCCAAAACAAACTGGTTCTGAAACACTACACAGATCCAAATCGTAGCTTCTACCCCAGCACTTCCTCTCAAGGACAGAGTTCATAAAAAAACCAGAGACTGGCTTGCAAAGAAAGCTGAAGCAGCGTTTTACCCTTGGCCCCCCCAGAGAAGGAAATGATACCTTGAGTGCAGTTTCTTTTTCCTGGAGCAGAGCATCCTTTTCTCGGATCAAATCCTTCAGCTGAACCACCAGCTTTTCGGTTTGGGCCAGGCGCTCCAGCAGCTCCTCGGGTGCCCCCTCCGTGCTTTCTGGTTCTGGCTCCAAAGCTTGGACCTGAAACAGTGAAACAAGTCCTCTGAAGGATAAAAAAAACCTAACTATTAACAGCTTGCAGCAGGGCATCCAAATGGTACATTCAGCTCCACCCCTGAACGCTGCACTCTGGTCCCTGCAGATGTTTCATGGAGCCCGTAGGACTGTACAGTTGGGTGAAACCAGAGGAAAGCTCAGGGTACCCGTGAGCCAAGACACAAAAACAAAGAGTACCTTGCTGAACACCACAGTTCATGATGAGGTGATGGTCTGCCTCACAAAAGTGCTGACTAAAGAGGTGAGGAATGCAGGAAAAGCAACAGAACGACAGCTTGGTCTAGTCAGTACGGAAGAAGCAGGAGGTAGTTCTCCCAGCAGTCTAATGAATCACACTCCCCAAACTGTCAGCAAGAACTGAAAGCCTTTAAGGTAACGCTGTACTTACAGCAGTGGAGGGTTCAGTAACTGCATCTCCATCCTCCCCTGACAGCTCCTGTAGAACGGTACTTGCTAAACCCGACAAACGGCTCAGCATCTTCAGCCTAAAACAAAAGCAAGAGTCAGAACAGTTCCCTCCATGCTGGTCTCTAATGTCACAGCAGTGACCAGGCTTGCAGGGAAGAGAGGAAAGCCAAAGTGAAACCTCAGGAATCAAGAAATGATCCCGTTTAACAAAAGCAGTGATTTCTTCGATAACGATTTCTTCACCACTCTACACGTAGGATCGACAAATACATCTTTATGCCACGTGTCAAGTCATCCTCATAGTTCACTCTTGATCTTTCTTATCAATGACACTGATAAGAATAAACATGGCCTGTAAATACCCAGAAGCAGCTTTCTGCTAATCAGGAGTGGGAATGATGAACTCAGCCCTGATGTTTGCTGAGCAGACGCATTTTTGGGTCGCATTTGAGAGATGATGAGACCTCTGCACGTCACACGTGGGACAGGGCAGGACCTTGACACAGGGAAAGAGTCTGGAGAGAGCACACATTCCCTGGCTGCTGCTCAGCATCCCTTCTTTCCTTTCCTTGAAATTCAGGAGCCAAACTGATCCTGCAAGTGGAAGTGAAAACTGAAAAAAAATAGCCAGCAACATATAACTTGTCCTTTTGGGGACAGCAACAGATCAAATTCTCCATTATTAACCAAGACAGTGGGATGCAAACCACCTCAATAAATCCATCAAATCCTAAGGAGCAGTTGATAAGCCAAAGTACAGACCTGTCAATCAGAAGGATCCTGACAGGCTGGAGAAACAGATGGACAGAAACACCGTGAAGTTCAGAAAAGGGAAATGCAGAGCCCTACAGTCGGGATGGGAGATGCAATTTGAGTGGCACAGCCTGTGGAGCAGCTGGCTGCACAGCTGTGGCGCAGATGACAAGCCACTTGTGCCCTGAGCTGCGCTGGTGGGACTGCAGGCAGCAGGTTCAGGAAAGCAACTGCTCCTTTCTACTCAGCACCTGCGTAAGCACAGGGCCCACTTTCAAACTCCCCGATGCACAAAAACAAACAGGGGCAGACTGATTGATGTTAGACGTGCCAAGAGCAAAGGATTTGACCAGCTGAACTCCCTTAAGAATCACAGAATCATCGTCCTAGCGTTCTGGGAAGAAAGGTCACGGGTGACACTCGACACCTCTTCACAGAAAGGCCCCAGATTGTGTTCGTGCCTGTAAATGGCAAAATTATTTGTACAGATACAGAAGCTCCAGCAGTGCAAGCTGAAGCCAGCTGAGCTCACATTAGCCATGAGATGAAGCTCACATCACTACAACTACCTCCATCAAATGGAATCTTTTAATGTGACAAGAAGTCTGGGCCTCACTAGAAGGTGGCTTCCAAAGCTGGCCACGCTGATCCACACATTCCTGACCCCCTCTGTCTCAGAGAGCAAACCATCACTCTTAGATTGCAACTTAAAAGTGGGAAATACTGACAGTGGAGAGGAGCAGAGCATCACTTTCTGTTGCAGCCACACCTTCTGATTTGGCAGAAGTAGAAAACACCACAATGCACTAAGAGCATCAGTAGCATAAAAGGATGATGTGAACACCAACCTGCTTTAGGCTCCCAGGAGCTCCCAGGTCTGCTGGCTCAGTGGCAAGGAGGTCTCCAAAGCAGAGCAGTCACACCCAGGTCCTTCATGCCATTCTTGACTGACAGTTTGCATGAACTAAGACTCTTGATGGAGAGAGAAAAAGAACAAAACAAAAACAAACAAAAAAAAGAGAAATAAATTATCCAGTAGTAAAGAAATAAGCCCACCCTTCACCCTACACGGAATACTCTGGGATTATTACAGTCAATAGGCACAAAAAGACAAAAGTCTGCTCTGTTTGCAAACCTAACCTGGATTCCTCCTGCTCTTGCAGAGACATGCCCTGGTTTCTCACCCTGAGTGGCACAAGCTGCTGTGTCTCTTTAGCTGATGGAATGAATGAAACGCTCGAGCAGCAGCTGGTGAAGCAAAAAGATGTGCAGGAAGAAGGCAGGCCCAGCCAGACTCCTGCCAAGAGCTCCAGGGGATGCAACTCCTCCAGCAGCACGGTCAGAACACCAGGATAGTCCATGTTTTGCACCAGCACAGCAGCCAGTGAAGCAAGGACTGGTGCTCTGCTCACTTCTCAGCTGGCTGTGGGCGAGACTGAGGCAGGGAATTCCAGAATAATGCAGCTTTACAGTTCCTGCCAGGGAGATTTCATCTGTCAGCATCAACTGCTCACCAACCTGGTGATACCAGAGACTCACTGAGAGACCTGGAATTCCGGTTCATTGTAAGGATAATGAAGTATTTACAGCTGTGTAAACCACCACTCCCACGGCGCCCCAATGAGGAACTGAACTTGTTCTCTTGTGGTGCATTTCAGAAAACAACCAACCAAATGCAAAAATGCCTCTCTTGGACTGTCACCCACGTCTGAACAGGATGGATTTGACCTTCCAGCTGAGCATTGGGCTGCAGCTTCTTAAAGTTACAAATTACCAATACGCAGTTGGGACTGAGAGAACCAACAGATGAATGATTAAAAGCGGTATTAGAAATATGCAAACACCCGCTGTGACCAGGAAGAGGGGTGGAGCCCAGCACCTGTCCACACGCTGCAGGCAGCACAATTTCAAGCATGCATATCTGGATTTTGTTGAGAAAAATACTCCTTGGCCTTTGTCCAGGTTGGCTGCATCAACCTGATACTGTACTCAAGTTAATAAACTTTCCTGGGTCTGGCTCAGAGTTTTCCTCCTCAAAATGCAAACAGAGAAACTGAGGCCTGCCTGCAGCTGGACCTTAATAACCTGAACTTCAGTCTTAGAGATTCATGCCTGCTGAACTCACTTTTCAATTATCTTCACAGCTCAGCTGAATGTGACAAAGAATGTGAATGGGAAATTGTAGAAAAATTCAGTGAAGGCCAACAAACAAAAGGCTCGTGGAGAATCTTGTCACAGAACCCCAGAACGGGTGAAGTCAGGCCGTCTGCTCCAGGCTCCCTGCTCAAAGGGGCTGCCCAGGACGACTGTGCAGGCAGCTTTTGGACATCTCCAAGGACAGAGGCTCCCCAACCTCCCTGCACAACCTGTGCCAGTGCTCAGCGACCCACACAGCGAAAAAGCATCTCCTGATGATGGGGGGAACTTCCTGTGTCTCAGCTCATGCTCATCCCGACACCCCACACCACCGTAAAGAGCTTGGCTCAGCCTTCCTTCAAACCCTTCCTGAGAGCAAATCCAGGAACAAGCATAACACAGCTTTAAATTCTGTCCCAAAGCCAGCAGTGGGGTGGTGGCTGCCCCGTGCACGAGCTTCAAGGACCTGTGGCAGGAATATCCTGGTGTTATATAATGCTGGCTGGCTTCCCCACAAACACTGAGGGGTTAGTCAGAGTTCCACTGCCTCGCCCCAACAAAGCAAACAGAGCAGCTCTCAGGGACCAGACTGCTGCTCTCCCTCTCCCTGGGGTGTGAATTCCCACCCCTGCAATGAGCAGCAGAGCACAAGGACCCTCGCTGTGCTCAGGGTGTGACCCAGGATCCTCTGCATCCTGGCTCTAGTTGAAAATAACCTTTTGCTCACCATTCCTACGACTTTCCCTGGGGAGACCTGACTTTGAACACTGGGACTACCAACAGTGACCTGGAAGAGACTCCCTTCCTCTGCAACACATTTCTCCTCCTGCCCCAAGCAGCTTCAGCCCCCTGCGAGTGTCACAGCACAGCCTTCAGTGAGCGGGGCGTAAATCAGGCCTTTCTACCCCCGGGCACCAGCAACAGCAGAGAATTTACTCTATTCTAAGTTTATTACACACAAATAAAGTTAATTCCTTGCGTTTCCTTCTTCCGAGCGAACCAAACAGGGTGCTGAAGGACATGAGCCCTGCACCAAAACCTCTCCCTCCTGGGGCTCCCAGGACCGGCGGGGAGCTCCCGGAGCGCCGTGCGGGGCCCCGCGGGGTGCGGAACAGCAGACCTACCGGACAACGCGGGAACCTGCCCCGGCCAGGCTGTGCTCCCGGGACCGGCGGGCACCGGAGGGAAGCACGGACCCGCCGCACACGGCAGGGCAGCAGCACCGAGGGGACCGCCCGGAGCCGCCGCCGCCGCCGCTCCTCTCCCGCCGCCACCTCAGCACCGGAACGCGCCGCCGCTTCCGCCCCGCCGGGGCAGCGACCAATCAGCCGCGGCGCTTGGAAGATGGACGGGAGCCGCAGCCAATCGCCACGGAGGGGCGGTCACCGCGGCATCGCCGTCCTGTGACGCGGCACGAAGTTACCAACACGAGGAGGCCCCGCCCAATAGCCGAGCGGCGGCCAATCAGCGGCGGGGGACGGGAGGGGGCGTGGTCAGGGGCGTGGCCCGGCGGGCTCGGAGGTCCCGCCCGTTTGGGGCTCGGAGCGCGCGGGGCGGGCCCCGGGCACGGAGCGCTTTGGGCGGAATAGAATCATAGAATTATAGAATTAATTGGGTTGGAAGACACCTCCCAGATCAGCAAGTGATCCAACCCCACTGCGATTACCAGATCATGGCACTCAGTGCCACATCCAGCCTCGTCTTAAGAACCTCCAGGGACGGTGAATCCACCACCTCTCTGGGCAGGGCATTCCAATGCCTGATCACTCCCTCTGGAAAGAACTTCTTTCTGATATCCAACCTAAACCTCCCCTGACAGAGCTTAAGCCCGTGCCCTCTTGTCCTGACCCTTGGGATCATCCGCTCCCACCCCCTCTAACCACGGGTTCCGCTAGACCGGGTTATCCCAAGCATCGTCCAGCCTTGGCCTCGGACGCCGGTGAAGGTGCCCAAAAGCAAACCTGCCCTCTTTGCACAGTTGTCCCTTGTAGGGTGTTTACAGCCCTTTACAGGCAGAAAAAGGGGTTTGTCTTTCTTCTGAGCTCCCTCTCCGTACGGAAAAGTCACAGGAAGGTCTCCCTGGATCCTTCTCTTCTCCAGGTGAATCCCCACAGCTGTCCCAGCCTGGCTCCAGAGCAGAGGGATCCAGCCCTGGGAGCAGCTCCGGGGCCTCCTCTGGACTCTCTCCAGCAGCTCCACGTCCTTGTGCTGCTGTTCCCAGGGCTGGAGGCAGCTTTGCTGGGGGGTGTCTTACAAGAGCAGAGGGACAGAATCCTCCCCTTCCCTGCTGCCCCCGCTCCTGAGGATGTGCACGCTGCCAGCTCCTGTCCTGTTTTTTTTTTTCCTTTGAATCACTCTCCTCAGAACTCTCGACCCATTCATCTCCCGGCCTGCCCTGGTTCCCAGAGGGTGCCCCCAGCCAGGTGTAGGGCAAGAGTTCACGCAGGGCAAAACTCACCGAGAGGATCGAAGCAGGTGTGTTTATTTACAGCGCCGGGTGCGTGGGTTTATCCCCGCCCGGCATGCACACCCACTGCCCCCGTTCAGCTCCTTTTATGCGATATAACGTTACATATGCATTAGCTGTTTTACATACACATCATTGCGTTACAAATGCACGAGCTGCCTCGGCAAATTCCCGAAAAGCGGGCGAGGAAGTCGTTAACATCCACCACTCCTACAACTCCATGCCCCTCGGGAATCTTCTCGGAGGGTCTTTCGGGTGAAGTGAGGAGTCTTCCTGGGCTCTGAACTCTTCACCTTTGTGAAGAGCTGCTGAGCTGGCAGTGGCCGATCACCTCCAAACCGGGTTCATCTTGTCTCTGTCTCTCGAGCCCCCCCTTTATCAACCTTCTCCTTCAAAGCCTCAAAGCTCCTTAAGGAAACTCCACGGTTTTTTTTTTGTTCCTGCTGGAATCCTCATTATAAAATTAACCATATCCTGTCTGTAAGTTAGCTCAAGCAAGCAAGGCCCTGTTCTAACTTAACAGCATTCTATCTAAAGATTAGCTCTAGTAAACAAACAGCTAAGGCTACAATCTTTTGTCATCACTTTGTATTTTGATCACCCCTTATCACACTCCCTTCCCCCCTGAGAGCATCCAAGGGAACCACAGATCTTAATTCCCAGAGGAGCACCAGGCAGTGAGTGTAACACCAGAAAAAAAGCACAGAAACAAAAGGCAGGTGTGTTGCAATTTTAACTGGGCTATTGCTGCTAGTGCAATGGTTTTTTCTTGTATATAAGTACTTGGCCTACGTTATTTTTCTTTGCTTACTGTAATTAGATCTAGTTTAATGATGGCTCTTGAACTAGACTGCACAGACAGGGAAAAAAAAGAGGTAGAAATGTTAGAGGAAAGGAAAGGCTGTGCTGAGCAGGCACAGGGTATGGCTAGACATTCATGCTAACCAGCACCATTCTTGTATCCACTTTACCTCCCTTTTGTTCCTCCCCTAAACATCACACTGTGAGTCCTGTACAACCAATTCCCAGCTGCTCTTCCCTTGCACCCCACGGGGTTTTCCACGCCCTCAGGTGGTACCCACTTGGTCTGTGAGGCACTCTGACAAATTCTCCCGTTCACTCACCACGATGGTGTCACCTCTAGGCCCATGGGGCTGGTGGCTCCCTTGTGACAGACTTAGAAGGAGCTGGGACAGGGCCTTCATTTCTCCTGCGGGGTGATTTGGTCCCCAGCCTGTGGTTGTCTCTCTTTGTTCCTACAGCTTTGTGCAGGTGAGCCTTTCTTGGGTTGACTGCAGGTGATTCTGGGATTAGCCAGGCCAGGTTCCCCCACCTGCCCTTGTTGCTCTATGCCTCATGGAGGTGAGGTTTTTCCCACACAGCCTCCCTCTTACACTGGGACACTTCTGTAACACCTACTGGTCCTACTCACCCAGTTAATTCACCACGTCTGAGAAAACAGACTATCAAATCCAGTTAGAGGAGTAGATCATTACTTAACCTCACACCCCACGTCTCCCAGCCATTTCCTCTTATCTTCCTGTATAATTATATCAAGGTTAAATCCAGGGAAGTCAACCAAATCAGTACAGCTCCCGATGCCAGTGTCTGATTAACCTTCTCCCCCTTTCTGGTTTAGCTCCTGAAATAGCAGCGATTTACCAGCTTATCTTGCACCCATTCTAAGAAGACTGTTTGTATCACTGAAACTTTCCGATTTGTAGACCAGCCTCTAAGCAGATTAACGTTTATAATTGGCTTAAATCCCTCCCTTGACTGCCACTGGTGTTGAATGTGGACAGGGGCAGGCGGGCAGTGCTGGGGGAGCCACGGGAGGGAGAGGATCACTCCCCACAGCGCCCTGACCACACACACTCATGGGAAACAACAGCAGCTCCACGGTGGATGACCTGCAGGCTGTCGAGATCCACCACTGGTACAAGAAGTTCATGACAGAGTGTCCTTCTGGGCAGCTGACGGAGCATGAATTCAAGCAGTTCTTCGGGCTCCGGGGGCTGGACCCAGAGGCCAACAGCTACATCGAGCAGATGTTCCGCACCTTTGACATGAACAAGGTGAGTTCTCCGGCCGGGAATCAACTGCCTCATGCTCCTCAAAAGTACTTTCGGAGCCCTCCCTCCTCTCTCAGAAACGCTGGTGGGGAAAGGTGCTGATGTAAAGTGGCTAAATGCTAAATTAATGTGCACAGATGATGACAGAGATAACGTAACCACGGGTAATAAATGCCTGATTGCTACCTACCTTTTGCAAGTTCGTCTTCGAGTTTTGAGAATTCCTTGTTGAGTATGGTTTGACTCGGCCTTGTTTGACTAAGTGCTAATTTCATGATACTTTTTCTTACATGTTCTTATCATTCAAAAATAAATATATCTGTATGAGATTGCAGAGACCACAGGAATCAGACAGAATAGAAATGATTATAGCATTGAAAGAGGAGTAATTTCCAGGCATTTGGCAGCCAAAATGAGCAGTGAAGTGTTTAAGGACTTTAAAATTTGTTCAGGGATGTTGTGCATTGCAGAGTTCTCCTGCGAGCCCTGCCTTATGTGGTGAACAATGTTTTATCTTTTCTTGGGCAGAAAAGATAAAAAGCTATCATCTAAATAAAGTGATAGCCATCTCAAGAGGAATGAAGAGAGAGTGTGGCAACCAGTGGAGATGGACCTGCATCAGTCAGTTAACCTCGTTCTGTTATTAGTTAGTCACTTAATTTAATCTCCTTTAGCTTCTTTTGTGAACAAGTGCAATGAACAGGAGCACCCAGAGGAAGATCCACCCTGTAGTAATACAGACATGAGGGATGGAATCATTTGCTCTCTGGACCTTCAGGGTCTGAGGACTGTGCTGAAGACAAAGAGGATAAATTTTCCATAGACTGATTTTATAAATTGCAATCATAGAATTATAGAATAGTTTGGGTTGGAAGGGACCGTAAAGATCAGCTCATTCCA